CAGAGTTTGCATCTCCTAGCCCTTGCCTAAAAAGGCATATATATATATATATATATATATATATATATATATATATATATATATGCCTTTTTAGGCAAAGGCTAGGAGATGCAAGTACAACCAAATAAAAAATAAAGTACATAATTATATATGAAAAAAATTTTAGAAAGAAGCCCTGAGTTGAGTGTACTCACAGAGCTCAGATAATAGTTCATGCAGCAATTGTAAAATTGTGAGATCTATTTGAAAAACTAATTTATAATAGTTTGTTTTAAAAAGATATTCTGCTGCCTACCATGCAGTTGTGTTATTAACCTTCTAGCACACAGCATTGGGTAGTTAAAAACTAAAACTTTTAGTTCCTTTTATTATTTATGTACCTTTTAGTAAAAGGTACATAAATTTGTACAAAAAACAATAACAAACAATTCATTTATTGTAAAACTAAAATTAAAAGTAAATAAATAAAATATAAATAAAAAATGATTAAAATTATTTTAATTTTTCACATTTATAGTAATTAGTTGAAAGTTGTTTGGAAATTGTTTTATTGGATAACTACTAGGTTCATATTTGTTTTTTATTTCTGCTGATAGGTTATAACTAGTTATGAAGTATTAGTGGAACCTAGTAGTTAACTACTAGGTTATAGGTATAATTCTTTACTGAAAAATTTTATCTTATTTAATTAAATTAAATAAAAAAAGAAAAAAAAAAAATTACATAACTTTATTGTTTGAGTAAATTATTAAAAGTATAATACTTATTGCAATATATATTGTTTGATTATAATGTTTATTAGCAATATATATTGTGATATATGTATCAGTAATATATATTGTGATATTATAAGAGTATAATATTTATTAGTAATATTGTTTGAGTAGATTATTAAGATTATTAGTCTGGTCGCTACATTTAAAAAAAAAAAAGGAAAACTAAATATTTTGAGTGGACATTCTAATTTTTATATAGACTTGTTCCTTATAACTTAAGAAGTTTAGAATTTTTTACGTGCTACTCGGAAAGTGCTTATAACTTAAGTTTGAGACAAAAAAATTGATGCACCTTATAATAAGGTGCATCAATTTTCAATTATACTTACAATCTTTTTAATAAGGCTTATTGAAAAGATTGTAAGTAGAGGTGTACCGGATATTGTTGCCGGATATGCCGGATATTGAACTTTTCTAAAGTTTTATAAGTGTTTATGAAGAAAAAATAAGTCTTGTCAGTGTACAATAAATACTATTCAAGGTCTTACTTTAAAAAATCAAGAGAAAAACTGTATGACATGGCATATGTGCTGACGAAGTATAGAAAATAGTAATTAAAAAAAATAAAAATTTGGCTGTAAAAACGATTTTTCCTTATACATTATTAACGCATATACCAGTGTTATACCAGTTTTTTATTGATTTTATTTTTTTAAATCTTGAACACTATTTAATGTAGAATGGCAAGGCTTGTTTTTTCTTCATAAACACTTATAGAACTTTAGAAAAGTTCAATATCCGGCATATCCGGCAAATATATCCGGTACACCTCTAATTGTAAGTATAATATAATCGCCATGTTGTTTATAAATCCAATACCGCAAAGCATTGATTTAGTTTTAACAAATTATTGACAGGGGGTTAATGGTTTGTAAAATTAGATGTTTTAAATATAATTACTCAAATCCATGTAACCAAAATTTCATAAACCTTATTTAGAAAAATAAATTCTTTATAATTATTTTAATATTGTATTAAAAATATTAATTAATTTTAATTTAATTAATCTAAAAAAAAACAATGTTCCCGTTCTTTGTTTAAGCTAAAAAATGTTCACTTTTCAAAAACTGTTTGCTTTTTTTTGTTATCAAAGTTCTTTTTAAAAGTAAAGAATTATCCTCATAAATAAAAGAAAAAAAGCAGAGTCATTTTTATAATAAAACAAAATATTTGCATAACTGCAGTCATTTTAAAAAAAACGGCTGTTGCAAAAATATAAAACATAAAACTAAAAAAACGTGTTTTATTTTTATTTATCATAATGAAACTAAATAATGGCGAGTAGCCAAAAAATGCAGCATTTTAATCTGGTTCCTAAAAAGGATTTAAAAAATGCTTGTATACTTCATCAAGGTGAAGTTGGTCGTAATAATAACAAACAGCGTGGTTTTACTGAAAATGCGCTTGCGAAAGTGAAGACTTGTACATTGTGACTTACAAACCAAGCATTGTGACTTACAATGCTTGGTAAGTCACAAACTAAATGTACAACTCAATTTATTCTTTTATATATGCCTTAAACAATGGTACGGAAAAAACAATAAATAACGTAAATTTGATAATAATATTTTTTTTACTATTCTTTTTTTTTTTTTTTTTTTTTTTACTATCGTCAAATTCGAAATGACTTTAAAATCATAAACATTCTACCTGATACGTGCTCATCAACTTTCTTATTTCATCAAAGATGTTACGATAAGTATGTGAAAATCATTAAACATCTTATAACTATTATAACTTATTATTGGAAAATAGAGCAGAATAAGTCAACGAGAGTGTAGGCGTGGATAATGCATCCTCATTTAAGCACAGAATCTCAGCTCGGAAAAGAGATAGATAAGGTAAATTAAAAAACCCTTGAGTGTGAAATGCAAAGTAAAGATTATTGCCCTCAGTTTTCACGTTTTTTTAATGTTTTATGCACTACTTCAAAATTAAAATAATTCCTTTGTTTCAGGAAAAATTATTGCGGATGAAGAGTGTTGCATTTGCTATTACAAAAAGACTAATAAATATAGGAACGGATATAAAACGCTTACACCGAATGGGCACAAGACCTAAAAAAGATGTCTTTTGAACGTTCAAAAGACGTCCCAAACGTTCAAAACACGTTCAAAAAAGGTCCAAAACGAGTGTAAGACGTTTACGTCCGTGCCTACTGGGTAAAATTCGTAACAGAAAATGCAGCAAACATGTTAAAAAAAATCGCTTAAGTAAAGCTGAAAACCCAGTTAGTATATTGGGCAAATCATAGTTTCCTTAGAGTTATATTATCATTGGTCTTGTTACCTTAACTATACAAGACCCCAAAAAGTTCCTTTTATTTTTACAGAAGATGCAATTATGCGTTTGCTCTTCGACTATGTGAAAGAACACGTATTAGACAATTTAGAGATTACTCATACAAGTAAGCTATTTGAATTTTAGGATGAAAACTGCACAGATAGAGCAAAAATTCTAGATAAAAGGACTTTGCAGGATGCTGTAGTTGCAGAACTTGCGTGTCTGTTCAGTTGCAGTCACCAAAATAGGGTATTCTTTCTTATGCAACAATACCATTAAGAAGGGGAAAATCGTTGAATTTTTTTTATAAAAGATTGACAATTTAGAAAAAAAGAATAATCCAAAACCGCTTGAAAAGCTTATCCATCATGTCGCACAAGAGGTTCGCAGCGAGGTTTTGTCTTTAAAAAAAGCATACTTTAAACTGCCTTTATATAATGCATCTATTGGTTTCGAAACCGTTTGCATTCACACGGTTGACACAAATATTGCTATTTACGCTTTGCACTTTCAAAACTAACTTCAAATAGAATTATTTGTGGATATTGGCATCTCTACTGAAAGACAGACTTTTGATATAAAACTTATTGCTCTCACAGCTAGGTGCTGATTGTTGTAAAGCTCTTCTTGCTCTTCATGCATTTAGCGGAAACAATTATACAAGTACATTTTAAGGGATTGGTAAGTCAAAGTTCCTCAAACTAATGAGACAGTCTGAAGAGTACAAGTCAATTTTTCCAAGGTTGGGGATAAGGTATAAGAATATCTTTGATGTAACCCATTTTGACCAAATCGAAAAGTTTATGTATATTATAAAAATTATAATGCAGTCATACGAAAGGAAGATACCTTAAGTTTATTGCCAAGAAAGAAGCTCCGGAACCTTAAAGGTTTTTGCCAACTAGGGATGCTCTTATGTGTCATTGGAAGAGAGTTTCGCATGAAACAGCAATTATCAAACAATCATTGGAGGCAAATCTCGGTATTCCAAATCCCAATGGATATGGATGGCAAGAGATTGGCAATCAACTTGAGATTAAATTGATGCTCATTAGATCTGCTCCAGAAGATGTTTTGCAGTTAATTCCTGTTCGTGTAAAAAGTCAAAATGTTAAACATGGGTTGATTGCATGGATTGACTTGTACGGAACTGTTCGTCTTGTGAAAACACAAATGATTGGGACGACACCTAAACAAAACAATATTTAACTGATTCGATATTTCCCTTTTAAAAATCTGTTCACTAAATTTTTTTTTACGAAATTTAAAAAAAATTATTAGCGTGACGTCATCAGTACCAAACAAGGGCCCGACTTTGACCCTTTAAGCACTATTAGAATTGCTCGTACGTTTTTCTAAAGATTTTATTATTTATTATAAGAGATTATCTAACGTTTGACGTAAATATATATTTTTTAGTTTGATAAAAAAAAAGTATACCAGCGTGACGTCATCAGTACTAAATAATGCCCCAAATTTTACAGGAATGTCATGCTTATAAAATTTGATTACACAACAAACATTTCATAATAACATTTCATTAAATATTTCAGCACGAGTAATTAAACTCGTTTAAAATGTTTATTATTTTTTATTTATTTATTCATTTAATCTAATATTTTTATTATTGTTTATATAATAATCTTTATTAACTGACAATATGACAATGTAGTGCTTGATGACAAGACTAATTATCGCAATTATAAGTACCAAAACAACAATAAAAGGAAGTTTCAAAGCAGATATTTTAACTATAGGCCGTTCAAAGCATAATAATTTAAAGCACAATTATCCATAAAGCAAAATAATCCAACCATAAAAACTTATTTTGAGATTTTTCTTAACCATAACAGTTTATTACGTATTTAGTAATTAATCATTACGTAATTAGATTAAAAGATTGTAAACAAGTAATTGTTGTTTACAATATGCGTCTGGAAAAATGTTAAAAATAACGTCGTAAATAAGAAATCAAAATATATTCATTTTAAATGATAAAAAATATTTTATACAACTCTAATAAAGCATTTATAAAAATGAGAATTTTTGTTTTGCTTGCTTATATGAATTTTGCAACTGGAAAATGTAGGTAGTTATTGCTTATAGATATTTATTAATAATATTAGAAACCTTCTGAAGTATTAAAACAGTTTTTAGCATGTATAAAAACAGTCTTTAGGTTAAAGACTGATTAAAAAGATTTTAGTACCTTCCGATGTATTAAAAAATGTGGTTTTCTTTTTGAATAAATATATGTTTTAACTAAGTTTTTGGTTTTAATTTAAATTTTTTCCTCTCAATAAAAGTTGGGTATCTTATGTTGGATGGTCATTAAGTTGGGTTTGATTGGTGATTAGAATTGCCAGATGTCCGGTTTCAATATACGAGAGCGAAGTGCCAAACCTACTAAAATCAAAATTTTCACAGCGCTTGCCTTCGGTTAAACCGGAAATCTAGCAACCTCCTTATCAATAAATGACCTAGGTGATTCTCTTCATTATTTCACTCTTTTCATTATTTTGAAGTATTAACATTATTGCTGTAAAGACTACCGTAAAACAACTTTTGTTTTCAAATAACTTAAGCCAAACAAAATTTTGTTTATTGATTAAACTCACAGCAACCCCAAAGGTATCTTAAAGGACAGATAACTTTACTTATTCTTGCAATCAAAGAATTTTTATCAAGACTGGATTATATTTGGCTGTATCATTTTTAGAGTGCATGTGGCTTTATTTGCTGATAAACTAAATACTCTAATCTTGATAAAAACTCGTCGATTTTTGATTGCTAATTATAATAGTAGCGTCAGTTTATTATATTTCAACCAACAGCCTGTGTAACAACTCTGAATTTCTTAGTTTTTTACATATCTTTACCTGTATTGTTTTGGAGCTTAAATTTCAAATTTCAGACTTCTAAGTGCAAAAAATTAGAAATTATAGCTTTATAAAAAAAAAAATTCAGTGTTCTTCGTCCCTTAATCAATTTATAAATTGTATTAACAAACAACTATAGGGTCTTTCAACTTCCTAATTTTCAACAAGTTTTTAGTTTATTCTAAAACGGTACCTGAATAATTCTGTCATAGAAGTAGTACTTTTTTTTTAATTTTTTAATCATGTCAGGTAAAATCTATAACCTCCTCAACTTTGGAATAAATCTAAAAAATGCTAAAAAGTACTTAAATAAACAACTGTAATTTTTTATCAAATAGACAGCTGTAGCTAATTAGCTGCAGTTATCTGTAATAAATATGCAATGATTGCAGTTCAAAGCATCTTATTACAGTTTAAAACTCCTATATATATAAAAATTAAAATATCTAAAAAGTATATAATAAATTTTTTTATATATTTTGTCATAGTTTATTTATCACTAAAAGCATATAGAACCATTAGACTCAAATATCTAAGAAATGAAAGCATTTTAACTTATTTAAAAAAAAAAAAAAATGGAAACATTTTGTTTTTCAATTATTAAGGGTTGGATGCGTTATTGGAAACCAGTGCATCACCAACCTGCCTACTGGTCTATGTGATGGGTGCAACCAATTATAAGTTACTTCTTTAAAAAAAAAAAAAGAAAAAATATAGTTGTTGCCCTCCTTCCTGATCGGGTCTTTATACTGGTTAGGTGCAGAAATAAAGGGGCAATAACTAAGTAGAGCCCAACATTATTATTTATATGTGATACTTTGATCATAATTTACACAATCAAACATCTCTAAGTTAAAAAATGATTGAAATCTTCTTAAATAATCTTAAATTTTTTAGGATTTCCATAATTTATGTGGCCCGTTAAAAAATTCTATAATAAAAATAAAGTTTCTTAAAGACAAAAATCAATAATTGTTATAAACAATTTTTATTATTAATTTTGATTTTTAATTGATAATTGATAATTATAATATCTTAGCTGATAGTTAAAAACAATTATCACTATCATAAAATAATTCGATTTTTTAAGATAAATGTAAAAGCTTCAAGTGTTTTTTATATAAGTCAAACTAATATAATGTGGCAGTAATTTCACTAACTGGATACTAATGGATATCTGGTTTTATTGGGTAATTGAAATAATTATAAATAGCTGACATAAACAAAGTTAATTTTAAGATCTGTTATCTTTCTAAAAAAAAAATCACTAATATGTTTTAGTATCCAATCAGTAATAATAATGTCAATGATTTTTGTGTATTAACACTAATCTTCTAGTATCTAAAAAATATCAAAATTACTGCTCATTGATGTAATATAAGTTATTAAGCAGCATAAAAAAGTGAGAGTTATTTTAAGATGTTGGTTTCTTATTGTAAATATAATATTTATGAGAGAGGTTGGTTTTTATTGTTAATATAATATTTTGGTTTCTTTGATAGCAAAAATATTTGTTGTTTTGCTAGTATTTCCTGTGCAACTGCAGCTGTTTTAGAAATAAAGAGTAATTTAAAAATTAATTTTAACAGAAAGCAAATCAATGCTTGTTTGAAAATTTCTTTAAAAATTTTTATACAGCAAATCAGATATAACACAATAACATTTGCTTTCTAAGGATAATTTTGTGGCAAATTAAACTTTTTTAGTGAAACCCATTTGTATCATACATTCCTTTGGTTTCAGGTTTTCTTTTAGCTGCTTTAAAGTATGTTTGAGATTTGCTGACTAATAATGTAGTAAAATTTTGTGTTAATTCTTCTCATTATTTTTTTGAATATAGTTGGTTCAGAACACCTATCAGCTTTTAATCTTTTTTTAAAAGTTTTTCCTTTGCATAATGCTTTAATAGACTGACTATCAGATCTTTTGAGTTTAATTTATCTTTCAATGCTTTTACTATAACTATCAGTAGTAGTGACCAGGCCCAGCCCCAGCAAAACTATAAAACTTAGCAAGGGTTAATAGCCAGGACTAGAAAAAAATTTATAATACTTTATATATTATAATATTATGCTTAAATTTACTATTTATTAAATACTGGCATATATTTTTATATTTTCAAACTCTAATTTACTTGCAACAAGATTACAAACAACCACTATTAATTTATGAGTTACTTTAAAATAGAGAATAAGTAACAATACTAGAAAATGGTTAACTGAAGACTTAAAAAGTTGTATGTTGTATATATTAGAAAAATATAAAGATGGCTAAGAGTTATAAGGTTTTTTTGTTGTGCAAGGATAAAAACTGGATTAATAAAAGTTTTCATAGCATAAAAAAACAGATACAGTAAAAGGATGCAACTTATTGAATAAGAAGTCAAGCAAGAATGAGTTTTGGTTTGGAATGAGTTTGGTTTGGAATTAGTTTATTGCTAATTGTTCTTTAAACTAAAATCTCATTTTATATTTCCAAATATTTTTTTAAATTTTTATTTTATCTTGATGTTTCCTACATTTACAAAAATTTAGATTCTTTATATATTTTATTTTAATGTTTTCTACATTCCATAACAATTACAAAAAATTGTTATATGTTTGGAAGTAATTAAAATATAATAAACATGATTGTAATATTATATCTACAAAGTTGATGACACCTCGGATCATTAGAGGTACTGTCAAGACTCAGAAAATATGTGACAGTGAAATAATGCTTTTTCCTAAAATTTATTCAAAATTTAATTAGCTGATCTTTGATTTAAAAATAAAATAAATGATTAATGTTTTTTTCTAATTATTTCTCTCCAAAAGCTAGACAGTCCATAGGAACTGTTAACAACTGTATTAAAATTTATTATTACTCATTTTTACTAAATTTATATAGCTACTGTTACTCCACAACTGTTTTTCGTGAAACATTTTTTTTTGTGAAACATTTCTTCTTTGTGATTTTTTCACATGATTTTTATGTTGCACTTCATTTTGACTTATTACATTGCATTTTTTGTTATATGTACCCAAAAAAGTTCTTTTTAACAGTGTAATCCTAAAATAGTTTATTTAGTACTATCATAATTTTACTAATAATGTGAAAAAATAATGTAAATAATTGTAAATAATGCACTACATATGCTGGAAGCTATAATAAGACATTAGCAAACTAAGCTTCACGTTGCAAAAAATGTAAAAATTGTAAAAAAAATTAACTTTTTCTTCAAACTGTAAATCTGGATGCTTATTTTTAGTTTGGTATTTTTTATATTATTTTAAAACAACATAAATACAAATTTCTTATCTTAAAAGTGATCACATGATACGACTTGATATAATTTCAAACTTTTATATACATATATGCACTAATAGGAAATTAATAGGACATTAGCAAACTAAGCTTTACGTTGCAAAAAATGTAAAAAATGTAAAAAAAATTAACTTTTTCTATACTTTAACTTTTTATAGATACTTTAACTATAACTTTTTTTACTTTTTCTTAACTTTTTTATTTAATGCTTGAACTACTGATATACTAAATAATTTTACAAACATTTACAATGGTGTTTTTAGAAAAAGTTACATTGAGTTAGTAAAATTAGTAAGACTATTGAAGTTTAAAATTTATGTGTACATTAAGGATGTAATTTTTTTGATAACTTCAGTTTCCAATATAAAAAACGAATGAACTTTATTTTAAAAGTAACTGAAAAGTCATTGGTTTTATTTAATGATTAAAAACGGATACCTACCAGTGCCCTTGATTATACACTGGCTCCCATATATCAGTCAATTATTTTTTCTAGTAAATCAATCTGGTTCTCAAAAGTACCAAAATTTCATATACATTTTAGAAATTATAATGGTTGCAAATAAAAATGAGTTGTCTAAATTTTATATACAAAAAGCAATAATTTTACCTAAAAATTGAAAAGATCGTTTTTATTACACTCTGTTTCCAAATTTTTTAAAAATGTTTTAACAGAAAAGATTGTGAATTTTAAAATCACTATAAAATTCTGATTCTTTTGAGACCCAGCTTGATATAATTTTAAGAAAAAAAAAATTCACTTTTGAAGAAAAAAAAATTTAATGTAATATGTTGGAGTCAGTGTATAATCAAGGGTCATGGTGGGTGACCTTTTTCAAAAATTAAATAAAACCAATAACTACTCAATTACTTTCAAACCAAAGTTCAAAGAAGTCCTTCTAATTACTTTTTCAATTTTAATTCTTCTTGTAACAAAAAGCAATTGAAATGCAGCCAACTAATTTACGAACTTAACAAATTAATATACAACTAATTTACAAACTAAAAGAATTGCAACTTAAACACTACTAGAAATGAAAATAGTAAAATAAAAACTAAATACAATGAATTAATTTAATGGAAAAAATGTATATATATATATATATATATATATATATATATATATATATATATATATATATATATATATATATATTATATATATATATATGTTATATATATAATATATATATATATATATATATATATATTTATATATATATATTATATATATATATATATATATATATATATATATATATATATATATATATATATATATATATATATATATATATATATATATATTATTTATAAATAAAACTGCATATTTTTCACAACTATTAGTTTCATGCTAAATGCATTCATCAGGTGTAAATATGTTTTTTTTTCTCGTAAAAATAATAAATCTGTATAAAAATAAATGAGTTAAAAAATCTAATCTTTTGGTTTGTCGTTGTCCAGCAAAAACTTGTTCCCATGGCGACATTTAGATATTAGTTCGTTTTTTTTGTTTAATAATTCTTGAGGATTTTTATACAATAAAATAATTAGTTTTTTGTATAAACATAACAAGCATTTTTGGTTATGTTGTTGTACGCGGGGGCATGTTTTATGATGGACCATTTTAAATTGGGTGTTGTTTTTGTTTTATTTTGTGTATCCCATATATATTTAGAAAGCGTGGTTGCATTTGTGAGTTTTTTATTTTTGAAGGATTGCTTGTGATTCGCCCATTTAGTTTTCCACATGCCCTCTGTTGAACCAATGTATGTTTTGTCGGATGTGTTTGGGATGTCGGATGATGCAATGCACTTATAAATTACATTTGTTTTTCTGCAATTTCCATTCATAGGGCAGATTTTGCTTAGTTTACAATTGCAAGCTAAAGTGGCCGTTACAATTGCAAGCTAAAATGGAGGTTCATCGAAATAATTTTATTGTAGTGGTTCTTTTTAATTTTTGCTATGTTGCTTGTACAGCTGTAGCTGACTTTTGTTGTGTTACGGTTAAATAGTTTATGAAGCGGATTTGGTTTTGGAATGTGTTTGTCAATTATTTGTAAGAAGGTTTTGCCTATATTTGTGAGAACGTTTTTATTTTATTGTGCATAAAACCTGATTAAACCTGATTATATTTCTTTTTCTTTTACGATTGGAGGTTACTTTGGTATCAATTTTAGGGTTGTATTTGAAGCTAAAATCTTTGAACCCATTTCTTTTTAGGGCTTCGTCATATTCTTCCCTTGCCGTGTTGAATTTTCGTCGGAAGAATTCTGGGATAACCTATCGTTGATAGCAATCGGAATTTGTTTAATAATTTGTGGGGGGTTGTTGGACTCAGTGTGGATGTAAAGTTGGACTCAGTGTGGATGTAGGTTGCTATTTGGTTTTTTGAAAGGATGATATGAGTCTTTTTCAAAGTTAAATGTAACGTCTAAGAAGTTAGAGATTGTTAGGTTTGTTGTAATTTCTATTTGGAAGCCGATTTTTTTAAAAATTTTTATAATATTTTTTCGGATTCTATCTATCTTTGCGGCAGATTTTTGACGCATTATTATCAGTCCGTCGTTCCGGTAAAGGCCCATATCGCTGCTGGTAACAGGCCGGCGCGATAGGGGGGTGTGGGGGGTGTGACATTCACATATATATATATATACATATATGTATATATATATAAATATATATATATATATATATATATATATATATATATATATATATATATATATATATATATATATATATATATATATATATATATATATATATGTACATATATATATATATATTTATATATACATATATATATATATATATATATATATATATATATATATATATATATATATATATATATATATATAATATATATATATATATATCATATGGTGGTTAAAAGTTAAAAAAGGACTTAGAAGTCGAGGTCTAAAGTTTTGAGTATGTTGTAGTATTAAATATTATAAAATTTCAAAAAATCCATATATTAATAACTAAAAGCAAAAGAGATTTTACTTTAAAATAAATTTTCTAATTTTACTTCTAGTGTTGAATAGAGAAAAAGTTGTTTAAAATGTTATAAATTTTAATAGCAATAAAAATGTGTTGATAATGTTAGGTGTCATTTCAAGGTTTAAGTTTTTCAATGTAAAATATTTTTCATTTTTGAGAAATAAAAATTTAAAAATAAAATCAACGACTTTATTATTTATTATATAATTTATTCATTATGTAATATTTAAATTTCTATTTCTAATGGCTTTTCTTTTTTATCTAGCCTATTCCATTTATAAGAGAGATTTTAATGAATGCATAATACCAGAAGATATAAATTATCCAGAGTGTAGAAATAAAGTATTGGTATGTTTTATTTAGTGTTCAATTTAAAAATATCTTTTAATAATAATAATAATAATAATAATAATAATAATAATAATAATAATAGCAATAATAATAATAATAATAGTAATAATAATAACAATAATAATAATAATAGCAATAATAACAATAACAATAATAGCAATAATAATAATAATAACAATAGCAATAATAACAATAATAATAATAATAATAATTCTCAACATAAAAAGTAGTATAACTTATATCATTAATCTATAAAATTTGACTTACATAGCTAGTTTGTTTAAATGTTACTGTGGTAAATTTTATACAAATTTGTGACTTTAACATGTAAAAGTTTAATTAAATTGATATTTTAAATAGTTAAATGTATATCATTTACCAAAAGTCTCTATTAAACTTTACCCTATTTTAATCTTTTTTTTTTTAATTTTTCAAATAATTTTAAAAAAAACTTTACAAGAATTTGTTGATATTTGTTCTTCCATCTGCCATATATTATATTCTTGAGTGAATTGTTGATAATCTAGGCACTTTATTCAAAATAAGGAAGTAGCATAGTTTTAAAAAAAATACACAAATAGATAACTTAGATGAAAACATTTGTCAACAGGCTAACATTCAGTATTACAAAATAATGATAAAAATTTTTGCATTAAAACCTAATGTTTACCAAATGATTACCAAAATTCAAATTCTGAATGGAAGAAAAATTTGAGTTAAAGATGTTCATTTCAGTAATTATATCTCCCCAGAGTGTTTCTAAATCATTCATAATAAAAAGTGGCTAAGCTATGGACAAGGAACATAAAATACATAAAAAAATTTTCTGCACTTGTCATCTAGTATCCTCCAATTGCCAAATTTACTAGAAGCTAGGCCTATTGAGGAAATTTTGTGTTATTCTGTCTTAATTTTTAAACATCATACACTATCCATCGTTTTTTTATGTTGTTGGTAAACAGTTATAGTTATTTTACAGTAATTTAAATAATTCTTGAAAACAATGATGCAAATTTTCTTATTGATTTATAACAAAAGTTTAAAATGGTTTAAAGTTCAAAATGGTTAAAAACTGGATAGATAACTAAACTGTTTAAATTCTTACAACTTTTATTTTACTGTTTTAAAAAACTGTTTTAGTAGCTTTTTTCATTTTATTGATCTTCTTAGCTTTAGGGAGTCAAAAAAAAAAAAAAAAAACTGATTTATTTTTTAATTATTCGAATGATTTTTGTAACTTTTCAAAAACTTGTAAAAAATTTTATTGTTTTTTATAGATAAGAAAGCTAGACTTTAACAAAAGTGTGGAAAGTATAGATAAGAAAGCTAGACTTTAACAACAATGTGGAAAGTATAGATAAGATAGCTAGCCTTTAACAACAGTTTGGAAAGTATAGAAAAGAAAGCTAGACTTTAACAGCAATTACATATAAAATTTTTCCATCATGTTTTTATAAAATACACATTTATTTTTATTAAATAAGTATGCTAAAATCTTGGATTATTGGTTATAATTCTAATAAAAACTACAAATGATTTTTATATATATATTTTTTTAATGCTTAGAATTAACATTTTTTTAATTAAAATTAGTGGATGCAAGTAAACTGGAAAATAAATCCTTTATATGAAGTCAATGGTGTTGATGGGACACAATGTTCAATATTGAATTATTTGAGTGAGGTTAGACACAACATTAAATATATATATATATATATATATACATACATATATATATATATATATATATATATATATATATATATATATATATATATATATATATATAAATATATATATATATATATATATATATATGTATGTATATATATATATATATATATATATTTATATATATTTGTATACATTTGTATATATATATATATATATATATATATATATATATATATATATATATATATATATGTATATATATATATATATTAGACTGCTTCATTTTGAGGTCATGAAAAAATTTTAAGTACCATGGAGTGTTATCTGCTGCGTTGACCCTTATTTTATTAGTAGAATTTTTTTTTTTTTAATTTTGACGACTTTTAGGGGTTGCTCAAGTGCCTCAAAAGTCATATTTTAGGCTTTTTTACCCTTTTTTAAGCCCATTTTTCGCACGTTTGAGCAAGTACTAAAACTCAAAAAAATTGAATTTTTTTTTTTTCTAGAGTTTTTTCTATGTTAGAATAAAAAAATAAAAATGCATGGTAATTTTATTTTATTGAAATAATTTGTGTAAATTTATCTACAAAAACGCAAAGTTATGCAATTGCTGCGCTTCGCGTTAATTTAAAAATGTTGTGTATTTGCTTAAACATGTTATGCATATTACTTTTTAACAAAAACGATATTTAATTTTGATTAAAAAAACGCGGGAAATAAATATAGATTACTCTTATGATATACTTACTCCATAGACTAATTAAAGCTATTTACTACCGATTTATTCATGTCAGGGAAAAGTAAGAAAAAAGTTGACACATTTTTTGGTAAGGGAATCCAGGTCATCCTTATCAAAAGACAAGTTTGCTACAAAGCAAGAGGTTTTGCAATACTTCTTGCATTTGAAGGAGAAGCACCCAAAACAAAAAGAAAGTAGAATTATCCACTGTCCATTGACAAAAAACTTTGAAATCAGCTGTCATATTGAAAAAACAGTTAATTTACACCTTGGTTGAAGGGTGGATTTCAGATTTTACAATTACAAACAATTAGGTAGGTACCAGACTGTATATGTTTTTTTTATTTATATATTATTACTTATTAGCGGAAAATATTAATATAACTAATGTCTGCTGTTAAATAAGTTAATAGACAGAAATAGGTGTGTTGTAAAATATACCGAACCTATAAATCACATTTTTTAGTATAAAGATAGAGAAGCTGATCCGAACCTGGAAACTGTTAAAAAAAAACAAAGCAAGTCAAACTTTATCAGAGATTGAAAAAAGGAGGAGGTTTTTAACTCAGATGAAAAGTATCTTTTGGATTGCACTGAGCTTTTACTCTGGTTGCAATCATTAAAGCTGATAGGAAACGAAAGGATCAAGACAAGACTGAAGATATTGCATTTTTTTTAGACTAATTAGGAGATAGAAAAACTAGAATAGGTGGAATCGATACAAGGTACCTTTACTCTGTAAACAGGAGTTTATCCAAAATTAAAAGGAAATCAAATTTGCATGAAACCATGTCAGAGAGTGAATTCAGCTCAAATGGATCGGAGAAAGATGAAGGTAATGATGATTTTTCATACCCAGATCCAGAGTTAAAGAAAAAAGTCAAAAAAACTAATACTGTTATGCATCCAAAAGATATTCTCAAGAGAACTGCTGATATTGCTGTTGGGGAAGGAATAAGTTATAGGCAGCATGCTTCCATGATTAATAGTATAATCGCTAAATCGGGTGGAAATGGAGCTGAATTTAAATCTTCAACCTCTACAGCATTACGCGCTGCAGATATGGTCATTCATGATGAATCAAATAGGATCAAGGATGATTTAAGAAGTTTAAGAAAAATCAATAAGAACATTTTAGTTCAACTCCATTTTAAATTGCTTTAACCTTACAGACAATATACAAGCTGTAACATTTGATACTAGGAGAATCAACGCTGGAAAAAAAAATGGAGCTGTATCTTTACTGGTAAATGAAGCCTTTCAACGACCAGTTCTATCTATTGCATGCCGACATCATGTCAATGAGCTACACATAACACATTTCTGGAAAAATTATCAAAGTAGCATTACTTCTGGACCAGATAATCTGTTGTTTAAAACTTTAAAATCAGCATGGAATGATCTTGATGCAGACAACCAGGTAGGTTTTTACAAAATTAGCTACCATTTTGTGAAATATTATTTTTTCCAAATAATTTTCTTTTTCCAATTTTGAGTTCTTTGAGTTTTTTTTTTACGTTTTGAATAAATAAGGTTTTGAGAAGATTGACTATTCCAGAGGAAAACATGGCTTGGTCATCAAAAGCATGAAAGCATAACGTTCTGCAGAAATATTATCACCAGTGGGTCTCTAAAAAAGGTAGCCAATAACTAGATATCTGAGTAGGTATCTATGTAGTATGTACTTTTATGTTGAAATTTTTTTATAAATTTTTCTTTTTTAATTCGATTATCCTTTATTATACTAAAATATAAATAGGTTTATTTTATCATACCTAAATACTTATTATTTTATTTCATTTTTAGGATGGGGCTACAAGGAAGGACTACCTTTAGCTGGCAGAGCTTACACTTATGGTGCTTTCTGAGGACAGGTACAAATTTCGTACTCCCGGAGCAGTCCACCATGCCCGCTTTATGGCAAAAGGTAAGGGATTGTAGGTTCATGATAAAAAAAAGGTTCAAGTTGCAAAAAAAAGGAATTTGTTTTACATTATCAAATATTAGTCTTTTTAAAAAATTAAAAAAAAAAGACTTTTTTTTATAGGTATCTACTACCTAAAACTCCAACTTATGATGGATGCTATACCTAGTCTGGAAAAATGGCTGAAGCATGAAATTACTGAAGTGGCAACTTTTGTCTCTGTTTTCTATACTACCTGGTTTCTCAAAGTTGAACTATCCGCTGCTGCTCCGAATCAGGTAGGTACCAAATTAAAAAGTATGAAATATATATATATATATATATATATATATATATATATATATATATATATATATATATATATATATATATATATATATATATATATATATATATATATATATAATATATAAAAGGGTTCTAGTTTGAATAAAAAGTTTTGATAATTATTAAAAGTAATCTAAGAAATAATTTTTTTTTAAAGAAAGTTTAACAGTTTTTTGTTTTATTCAGGATATGAGAGCGCTTTGGCAAATGAATAGGTTTAAGGAGTACAATTTGATTGGGGCAGAATCAGTCATTAAATCTATCAAACGCCACACATGGTTTTTGGACCCTTACCTTATTGTACTAGCTCTAGCTGATGAAAAATGTAAAGAAAGAGGTGATATTGCTCAAAAAATATACAGCTATGAATTTCATAGTATGGATGAATATCCGTTAGCCCGAATAAGTGCTAACATAGAGGTCCTCAATTCTTTAGACTTCAGTGGACCGAAGCCTCCCAGCTTAGTTCATTTGGTCACAGAAAATTCGTGGCTATTGTTCCTTATGATAGGCCAAAGTAAAAGTGACTGTCAATGGATGAAAACTCCTCCAGAATATTGGACTTGCAACGAATTCTACTTAAAATTTCAGGAGGCAGTTTTTAATCTTTCAGTTGTTAATGATTGCTCGGAAAGAATCGTTAAACTCATAAAAGACAAAATTGATATTGCCCAAAAAGAAGAGAAAAGACAGGATTCACTTTTATTTTTGCATAATTACAAAAGGAAGTATGGAGGAAAAACTAAGAAATCCAAGAAAAAAATATATATATATATAAAAATATAACATAACATTTTTAAAAAATAGTTATAAATTTTATAGAAATTTAATTATAAAGAAATTTGTTAAACAAAATTGCTAGACGTTTTATTCAATATAATTAGATTTTTTTTCGTTTCATGTAATTTAATGAAGTTTCATGCAATATAATTAAGTTTTTATAGACCTTTAATGCTATATATAGATGTTTTATGCAACATAGTTAGGTTTTTTTTTTCCAAATGGCTTAACATATCCATAAAGATATTGCAATGCGTAATAATTGGTAAAAATCTGCATAACTTTGCGTTTTTGTAGATAAATTTACACAAATTATTTCAAAAAAATAAAATTACCATGCACTTTTATTTTTTTATTCTAACTTAGAAAAAACTCTAGAAAAAAAAAAAATCAATTTTTTTGAGTTTTAGTACTTGCTCAAACGTGCAAAAAATGGGCTTAAAAAAGGGTAAAAAAGCCTAAAATATGACTTTTGAGGCACTTGAGCAACCCCTAAAAGTCGTCAAAATTAAAAAAAAAAAAAATTCTACTAATAAAATAAGGGTCAACGCAGCAGATAACACTCCATGGTACTTAAAATTTTTTCATGACCTCAAAATGAAGCAGTCTAATATATATATATATATATATATATATATATATATATATATATATATATATATATATATATATATATATATATATATATATATATATATATAATATATATATATATATATATATATATATATATATATATATATATATATATATATATATATATATATATATATATATATATGTATATATATATATATATATATATATTATTTATTAGGGTGGTGCTTATAAACAACTTTTTTGAGAAAAACCTGCTGGTACCCCCCTAAATGTGTTTTATCTAATACAAAAACACTAGGTTTAAAATTTTTTTGAACAAAAATTATTTTTAGGGGTAGCTCAAGGCCCTCAAAAATTTGACGGGTCCCTAATATTTTGAAATAAAAACTTTTTCTAAAGTATGTCAACCTGGTACTCAAAAGAAGCGATATTATATAAAAACTTCAAAAATAATAATCATTTTACATAAAAAACATGCCTAAAAAAAATTATTCTCAAAAAACCTGAAAATATTGACTTTTTTTATTTTCAGCTTAAAAACAATAGTTTTTATGTATTTATACCTGAAAAAATTATTTTTATAAAAAATTATTTTCATTTTTAAATTTTTTATATAATTTTGCTTATTTTGAGTACCAG